GTCTGATGATGTTTCACCTCTTTGCTAAGAGAGAGGAGGAGACCTGGCCAGGGCAGGACTGTGTCTCCTTGACCAGTCTGGGCTTCTGACCACCAAGGGTGCACAGCAGAATACCCAGGCCACGGTTGGGTTTTGATGCTGAGGCTGAGCAAACTCAGCTGCCTAGTGCAGGCATGGGAAGGACTCAGGGAGTTCCTGCTGCATGCCAGCACTTTTCAGGTACTTCCTAATTTGATCCTTACAACAACCTGAAAAGGTCGGCACTATTACTTCCATTTTACACATGAGGAAACTGAGGCCAGGGCAGGCCAATCCATCAAGGACGAGGAAGAGGGGGCATTTAGATTGCATCTGCTGAGCTCTCGGGCTCTCTTGCAGGGGTGCCCCCAAAGCAGGTACTCTCTAGGCCCTATTTTGGGGTGCAGCACCAAGCTCTGCAGTTTGGCCAGGGCCAGGGATCCACAGACACTTCTCGCAGCACTTTGAGCTCACCTCCGATGCCCAGAAAGCTTCCCCAAGGCTGCCCTGAGTGAGGACAGTGAGACTGGGAGGAGGAGATTGAGAAGCCCAGCTCTCAGGGCACCGACACATTTGCTTATTTTGTTCCACAAGCAGAGCCTCCAAAGTTGGGCATCAGAAGCTACCAGATTCAGCAAGACCTAGGGATCAGGGGTCAAGGGCTTTCTCTGATGCAGTCCCTTCCCAGTGTGGCCTTGATCGGGTCGCTGGCCCTGCCTGGCGCTCAGCTCCTGGTCTATAAAAGTAGGAGGAGGGCTGGGGGTGGGCAGAGGCCCTCCTTGGGCCCTGCAGATTTGCAGAGCAGCTGAGAGAGATGTGTGTGCAGTCTCCACAAGCAGTTCCTGACTCAGTTCTTCATCCAGAGAGAGGCTAGGCTGGGTATTAATAGCAGTCTAATCTCTCTCACATTCTTTGTGTGCTAAATGAAAGCAAAAATTCCAAGCTGGAAGAACAAAGCCCTCCTTTCTGAGAAGACTGAATCACTTCTCAAAGGTCAGTAGAGTGGGCTTAACGCCTTGCTGCTTAACCCTTCTCGGCACCTTCAGTCTAAGCGAGAGCCATGCAGCACACGGCCTGTGCTCCTGCGACCCTGTGGCTTCAGAGAGGGATTTGATCTCTACTGGGCACGTTGCGAGGCGCTGGGAGAGGCCACTGCCTGCCAAGAAAGCCGCCCACAGCCAGCAGGCTCAGCCCTGCGAGGACCTGGAGAGTCACACAGATGTGCGGTGGGCTCTGGGCTCTGCCATTTACAGGCAGTAACTTTGAGCCTCTTCGTGCCTCTGTTTCCTCATCCGTACAATGAAGGAATGGACTGCTCGAAATGGTAGTCAACAGTAAAAGTATTCAGGTGCAAACAGCGCTGAGGAGTGCCAATGTAAAGACCCTCCTCTCGGCCTGATGACAGCCGCGTGCTTGCTGGGCACAGCGAGTCCTTGGGACTTTTCAAGGCTCCCTTGCCCCATTGTGGTTGGTAACATGGAGGTGCACATTGGTCGGAGTTGGGTTGTGTGACCACTATCAAGCAGCTCTCCCTGCTCCTCCTGCCTGGCTGCTGCAGCCCACAGGACCCCACAGGACACAGCCTGTGCTCCCAACCCAAGTATGGACTTGCTAGGAACCCTTGGATGAGCAAACTAAGGAGCGTGGTATGAACGGAAGAGTGCGGTGGGCAGGGAAGGATGACACTCCCTGAGCAGATGGATGAATGGAGGCATTTGCCTGCGACCTCAGACTGTAGGCCCACCCTCTGCCTTCAGAAGACCCCTGGCCTGACAACTGAGGTGCGCGGTGTGGTCGCCTCTTTCCTGCCCCACCCCCACCCTTGGCCTGGCTTGGAGAGCAGTCCAGTTCCCACCTGGGGGACAAACCACCCTGGGCTCATCAGGAGAAAGAGGGGGAAAGAGGATGGGTTTTGGAGTCCAGCTAGCCCAGATTGCAACCTTGTCTTTTACTAGCTGTGTGATTTTGAGCAAGGGGCTGAGACTCTGTCCCATATCTGGTAGGCAACCTAGAAGTATCTGATGTAGGAGAACAGGAACAAAAGTATATTTGTTTACTTTCTTTCGTAAGCAGCAGGAAGATACTTCTAGCCTCTCCAGTTACACAGGTGATTGATAGTTATCCCAGCAGAGGCTCTCGGGTACTTTGCAGCAGGTACAAAGGTAACCGGACCCAGTCAAGTTGTTTTTCCTCTCTGCACCTCAGTTTCCCTTTCTGTAAAATGTGCCAGTTTTTTACTTCAGCACTGGCTGGTGGCAGAATGGAAGGAGTTAAGAGATCTGGTGGGCTCTCGGCACCCTCCCACTTAGCCTTTCCTGACCAGGGGGGAGAGGCAGCCAGGAGGACTGGGGAGTGGGGTGAAGAAGGACCGGCCAGGAGACCAAACATTACACACTGTTTTCTCCTTTTATGGGCCATGCTCTAGATCGCCACTTCCTGGAGGTTTTTATTCCAAACTTTGCCGTGATGGATGTGAGGTCCGCGTGCCCACGAGCTCCCTCAAAGCCCAGATGTCACCCGGGGGAGGGAATCGGCTTCTACCTTGCTATTTTAAGCAGCAAGTTTACAATAATGGATAGGAGAGAAAGCAAACAAGGCAGGAGCAGCGTGGGAATGGCCCGGCGGGGCTGTGCTCCCCTCCCTTGAGAGCTTGGGGTTTCATCTTGGCAAGGGTGAGGCCTCAGCCAGCATCCACTCCACTCCCATCCTGTGGCAGCTGACACCTTGGTGTTTGTCTGGCTTCGTTCGTTCCTGTTTTATTTTCTGACCTAGGACTGGCTTAAGGTCTTTCTTGGGAGAAGGAGGTGGGGGAAGGGAAGGAAGGTTTGGGAAAGGGGATATTTCTGATGTGATTCGGGAACATCAAAATGGCAGAGTTCTGCAGTGGAGAGTAGGGTCCTCGTGGCTTGTTGTGAGTAGGAAAAGTCCAGGATTCCAGGGATTCTTAGGTTGGGGAAGATCCTTCCTGTGGTTAGGAATTCTGCGACCCTTAACCCAGCCTTTGCTGAAACTCTCCGAGGACTAGGATTTCACTACCAAAAGGGTGTCTTGTGTCATGGTTACCTGGTGCCAGCCATTAGGTTCCATTTCCCTCTCTTCCTCTGACCTTGTGGTCACTGGTCACATGCTTGTCCTTTGGGGATACTAGAACTACATGAACGCCTTTCAAGTACCTAAGAAAAGATTGTATTTTCCCCCTGCACCTTCTCTTGTCTAGATAAGGTCTCTAATACTTTAAGCACAAATCCTTGGCCTCCAGGTGTCCTCTTTCTCCTAAAAAGACCTCAATTAATCTGACTCTTTCTTAGCCTGCAGAGGAATGGTTGCCTCTCATGTTTTGGAAACCATATTCCTATAAAGACATGCTGAACTTGCACACATGACACTTATTAGGAGGGTTCCTGAGAGGTGCCACTAACTTTTCTGGCAAAGTTAGGGTTTACAGGTACTCCTGCTACATTCAACCTCTGTTATCATATACTTTAGCCAGCACCATTGACAGTACCGCTGCTAGAGTCTAAGTAAAGGTGATAGAAATTAATCGTGGAGCTCTCCCTTGGGTGAGTATGATGTTCACTTTATTGATACAACAGCCACTTACCGTGGGGGACATGACAGCCCCAGCCCTACCGCTCTCATCCCCAAACGCCAGGTTAAATCTGCCCACTATGGCTTCTCCTCTTCTTTTTTGGCTCATCTCCTCTGCTCTGGCCCCAGCCATCTGTCCATAGAGATTCCATCCACATTTCAGTGTTCATGGATGAGCTCAAACACCATTTCTAATTTGGGTTCATCACTATGATTCCATCCTAGTCTCATCATCCCAATCTCCATAGTTAGGGACCTTTCCCTGAGGTCTCATAACTTCTCACTTTCAAAACATGTACCCCATTAGTACCTGCCTTCCACCGCTGGACTCTGTGATCCTTGCAGGCCAAGACCATATCTTCATCGCCTTTGTGTCACCAGCTCCTAACATAGGCCTGATGGAGTACATATAAAGTGGGTGTTTTTTGGAGAAACAATGATTCAGCCCGATCTACCTTTGACAAGATTTCTCAAAGTGACCAGCAGGGGTCGCCCCAACTGTTTCAGGGGAAGAGTGGAGTCACCTATGCAGGACAAATGACAAAAGCCAAGATTGGGGCCACTCTGACACATTCTAGGCCTAAAGGTGACTAGTTCTTTAAACACAAATCAGCAACCCATTTTTAATGAATCTTTTGAGTATCCACAATGAACTAGACACTGCTTGTGTCAGGGAGCTAGGCATGAAGGTGTGTTGTTGGCCGAGTGGCCTCTGCCAGCTATGCCAGGTGCCAGCCTGCCTGCAGCACTCTAGCTATCAGGCCCTTCCCAGCCCTATCTGTTGGGCAAGAAGACACCTAATATCATGGGAGGTGGCAGCAGTTTCTGGCTCTTCCACCTGTAGCCTCCACCAGTCCCCTCATCTTGGATTTAGGGCACAGTAGGTACTCAGTAAGTCATGTTCTTTTCTTTCCCTAAAGAGGAGGAAGTCAGGAAACGCAGTGAAGAAAGGTGGTATGGAATCATGAAAAGAACCCTGGTCTCAGGTCAAGAAGCCCTAGGTGTAAATTCTTAGTTCTTTGTGTGATTCGGGGCCAGGGGCTTCCACCCTGAGGCGGGTCCCTGGTCTATAGAATGGGACTGCTAATGCCTGCATCAGAGGGCATCACGAGGAGTCACTTAGATGACTCTAGTAATGTTCTTAGGGTAGCAGCTGCCACCAGAGGTGCTTAGTGAATGATGCACAAATATCATTCCATCCTGACAGAGTATCCTCCATCAGTTGTGGCTCTGAGAAGTTTGAAGCACTTCTCTCCCTTCTGGGATAGCTGTGTTTACTGTAAGGACCAAATTAGACGTAAAAGGTCACCTCTGCCTTTGTAAACAAAGCCAGAGAGCAGGAGGAAATGTAATTCTTAGTGCCTGCTCCTAGCCGAGTTTGACCTCCAGCATTGATGCAAACTCAAGCAGAAGTCTCTGTGGTTCCTGGAAATGGAATCCAGCTTGGGACAGGGATGGGAAGGGATTTGACTTGTCCTTTTGGCGTCTTCCCAGCCTGCGAAGCCCAGGCCTCTTGGAGGCTGACGCAGCGGAGGTTCCAGGTACACGCGGCCCCTTGGCCAGGAGGTTGCCATGCCCCACATTCCCGAGGACGAGGAGCCCCCTGGAGAGCCACAGGCATCCCAGAGCCCCACCAGCCAAGTAAGTGCCCCCTCCCTGCCCGTGGCTAACCTGGCTGGGGGCCAAGCCAAGTGTCCCGGGCTGAGGTCACAGCTCTCCAGCTGGCCAGAGGGTCTGCTGCACTGGGCGCTGGGGGAAGGCGTCAGGCTTCCACACTGGGGGATGCTCTACCCCAAGTTCACTTGAAATGACCGAGTGTGCAGACCCTGAGTGTGGAACCATGTAGGCTGTCTCTGACAGAGGCATCATGGTATCAAGCCACCCGAACCCACAGGTTCCCTCCTAAACTGGAGAAAGATTTAGAAAAGAGCTGCCTCCTCAGCGAGCCCAGTCATGCCAGGGTAGCTGGCACCAGCTAAAGACCATTTAAGTGCTTAAAATAAAGATCAAAAATTTCATAGTAAATAGTGAAAAAAACTTTCAGCAAAATTTTATCAGAAAACAGGAAATGGTGAAAGTAAGTTCATTAAAGAGGATATTTTTGAGATTTTATTGTACAAATGAAATTATGAAAGCAAGTTATTTTTAGTTATACATACTACAGAATATAGATTAATACATTACTTTTTATTGAAAGAAGAATGGATTGAGTGTTGATCTTGGTGCTGATATACCAACAAACTATTCACATAATTCTGCATTCTTCTTGTTTTATTTTACAGCATGATCATTATGAGACTGATTAATATTTATGGGCTCCATCTATTTTTCCAAGGATCTCTTTAAATCTTTTAATCGTTCCCTTTCGAAGAGTCTATCTCGCTATCCTCCTCATTTTTTCTTCATTTGCTAACAGATCCAGCTTTATCTGATCTTCACTGGTCAAAGACCTTGCGCATGAAGTTCTCTGACATTGTTTTCTTTGCCTCTGTGGACTTTGCAGTTGGTTTGCAGTGAGCTTGTATCATCCTATTCTGTCTGACAGCCATCCAAACGGACCAGAGCCAGATGGGAGAGACACTTGCTAAGTGTATGAGTGAGCATTATTTTTCCAAAGGGGCTGATTCTTGCTGAATATTTTCATGTTATGATGATGTTTGTTTTCTTACACATCGTGACTGTGGGAATTTAGACAGCAAATACTTAAGGAAGGCCTTTCTTGTCCCAAGATCAAGAGGCTTAAATGATGATGCAGAATTTGGCATCCTTGAGGATGGAGGATGCCCTTTCCTTGAATGCCTGAATGGCAGAAGGTTGAGCCCCCATCTCTCTGTCCAAAGATTGAAGCTCAAGGTTTTACTGAGAACCCCATACCCACCCTGGATGTCTTGGGCCCCTGTAGGTTCTGTTATTAAAAACACTCAAAGTGTGCCAAGTTCTGGGAGTTCGGCGGCTGAAGTGGGCATGGCAGCACCGAGCAGAGCTCTCACATTGGATTCAAACGTGGCTGCTTCCAGTTCTTCAGGTTGTGACTTTCCTGGACTCTGTCTCACTCCCTAGCCTGGACTTCTCCCACGGTGGTCACCACTGACCCTTCCACTTCACCAACGACGACAGTGTCCTAGAGGCAGAGTCTCATGCAACATTTAGCTCCCCAATCCTGGACACCTTCCTCAAACAACTGCATACAAGAATATAAGCATCCCTAAATAATAGTAATAGTAATAATAGTAATGGTAATAATAATCAGATCAGATAAGATGCAACTCCATCATCAATGAAGACTGGCTTTGATATTGAGTTCAGTTCTTCTGACTCCACACCTGTTTAATCAAAAGGTGTTTCAAACCACAATCTCAGGAGGCACAAAACAAAACCCCAGAATGACCTGCTGGTCCTTCTTATCCTCATGGCTTTAAGCCACATGTAGGTTTGGCTCCATCAGGCCAAGGTGAAGGTGAATTTCTTGGGGTAGCCTAGCAAGGGAAGGAGTGCATGAGCTGGCTGCACAGTCGAGGGTCAGAGCTCCAAATTTCAGTTTCCCACAAGCTCAGTGACCTGTGACCTTGAGCCAGAACCATATTGCTACAAAATGGTGGCATATGCTCTGATGGTGCATGAAGAAGGCCCTCCAGCTCTGTGCTCATGGGAAATATGTATTAAGTTTGCAGGTTCTGATGGCTTCTGTATCACTGGAGCCCAGCAGAAGGACCTGTGAGAAATTCAGGTGGCCAGGAGCCAGGAAGCCCGAGTCCTGTCAGGGAGGACACAAAGCACAGGTTTAAGAGTATGGGCTCTGTAGTCAGACCCAACTGGCTTGAGTCCCAGCTCCTCCACATCCTGGTCCAGACACCTTGAGACAGAGTCTGTTAACAGCGTCACCCCTGTGGTTCCTTGTGTGTTACCCAGACCAGTGTTAGCTGTTGTCTCCTAGACTCTGCCTGTTCAGCCCGGCCCTAAGGCACACACAGAGCTGGGGCAGCTGGCCACTCAGACTAAGGGTCCACCTGAGATTGTACATTCTCGTACTCTGCCCTTCCTGCCAGGCTCTGGGCCTCCCTGAGTTCTCCAGAAGCCAGCTGGCCAGTTAAGAGCTTCTTCCCCTTTTGCTTCCACCAAACAGCCCACACTGGGCTTTGCAGACAGCCACAGCTTCCGGGGAGTGTCAGGCCGCCCAAGCCCAGCTGGAACCTCCGAGGGCTGGAGCCTGCATCCCTGGGAGTGGCAGAGGCCAGGCAGCCAGGGAAGCGGGCTGGCCAGGAGGGCTTATCCGGAAGTTCCAGCACCATGTGAATTCCCACTCCACAAAGCAGGCAAAGAACAGAGCATCCTTCCAATGCCACTTGTCTGAGAGGGGCCCAGGTTGGAGAACATTCTGTCCTATCACCTCCAAAGCATGGTATCTTGTGGCACTGGGTCACCCCAAAGCCTTTCTGCTTGCTGTCCTCTCAGTTATACAAGCCACAGGGCCAGGGAAGCAGTACCAGGGCACACATCCCACGGAGACACAGTGCTGCCCTTGTGACCACCCTATTCCCTTCAGCCAGATGATAAAACACAGTGTGGGGCATAGTGAGGAACACAGACCACCAGCCATGGCCTGGCCTAGGCACACCTACGAGGTCAAGCCAATTCTCTGTGCTTGCTTTCTCATGCCCTAGGCAGACATTGATGCTTACCCTGATGTATGGTGGCATCTTGTAGCTTAAGGTCATTGCAGCACTCAGCTGACCAGTAGCATCCCCTCCCTCCTCCTGCCCCAGTGTTAAGTAACTGAGAAGAGGTCAGAGCGTGCTCTGGAGAAGCAGCCCTCTGTGTGGCCCCCAGGACAGGTTCTGTTTGTGGACACCGAGAACTTCCAGTCACGGCAATGCCTCTTTGGCCTTAGAATTGGAAAAGGGCCATCAGAGCGAGTCACTTCTCTCTGCTCTGTGTCAGTGCAGTTTGAGATGCTTCTTGGGTTCACTTTGGCTCCCAGGCTGGACTCAGAGGCGACCCCCTGCTCTGCACTCTTGAAAGGAGACAACCAAGCAGCCAGAGGCTTCTAGGAGGCACGGGGATGCTCTCGGTCATAGGCTCACAGGTGTAAGGAGCACAGTAGTGTGGAAAAGCCTGGGTTTCCCTCCCAGGTACAAACCTGAATGAGTTATTCATTTTGCCTCAGTTTCCTCACCTGCAAGCCAAAGGTTATGGCAATAGCTATCTCCCTACTCCTCCCACTGGCCTCGTGTGGTAGGTGCCATTATTATTTCCATTTAGAGATGAAGAATTTAAAAAAGAAAGAAGAAAAGCAATGAGTGCTATATAACACAGCTAAGTAAGTAGTTGAAGCTAAATTCAAACCGAGGCATATCTTGACCAGAGGTTTATTATCTGTATCAATAAAGTACTAATTAAAGATCACAGCTAATAGTAGGTGCCCAGTCCCCAATTCAGCACAAAGCGGTTTGCAGAAAGTTCCACATCTGTCAATGCAATTGATCCTCCAATACCACTGTGAAGTAGGCAGAGCAGAGATCATCTCTCCAGGAGAACGGAAGCTGGAAGCAGTGGTATCTTAATCAGATAAGAGGGAAGAAACTAATCACCTCTTCACACTCAGTTAACTTAATAGCATCCCAGTTAACTTAATAACATTCCTATAAGGGAGCTACGGCTATACTCATTTTGCAGACCAGGAAACGAAGGCTTGGAAAGGTTAAGCCAGTTTTCTAAGGTCATATACAAAGGAAGTTGCAAAGCCTGGATTCCAGTGTCTCAGCTATAAGCCACAGAAAGGGGGCTACTGTTTTTTGTTTTTCTTCTTTCTAGTGCAGAAAATACCCCGTTATCCTACAGTGGGGTTTGCACACAGGAAACAGATGACTGTGCACTTACACATGGCAAACAAAGAAATAAGGAACATTTACTCAACAAATGTCTATTGAATTTGTTCGGCAAATGTTTGCTGCACATTAACTAAGCCCTGATCTCAGGGAGTTCATATCCTGACGGACTTACAACTGAATGAATGCTCACTTTCTGATCTGATTTGCTCATGACCTCATGATCTTCTCTGATCAGAACTGGAGGACTTTTGCTCTCTGCTCTCTCAAGACATCTACGGCTTAGCAAGAAATTTTACTACTTAAAGCACATGCCTTGTCTCTCTCTCTATCTCATTTGCCCCAACTGTTTAGCCAATGTCGTCATTGGTTCTGTCTACGTTTTCCTGGTGACTCCTTGTGAAGTGGATTCTCCCCACTGAAGGAATAGGGCTTATCACCCAAATAACCAATCTTCTGTCAGGAAGGAGAAGAAGATGAAATCCATAACACATGTCAAATACTTGGAGCCCAGTAAGGACTTAAAAAACTCCAAATTTGCAAAGGGGAACCCTCATTCCTGCTTCCTGCAAGCCAGGTATTTCTCTAAGAGGTTAATTCACAGTAACCTCACAGTAAATGCCTGGAGGTAGGTAGTGTTATATCCCATTTTACAGATGAGAAAACTGAGGCCAATAAGTGCACTCTAGTTGCCAGGAACCACAGAGGAAGTGCTTGAATACTGTCATCTAGGATTTTGAATTCATCTTCCTTGAGGCCATTTCCACTTATCCTACCACAATTTTTGTAAAAACAGCCTCAGGTAAAGTCAATAAT